ATGCTAACACAGGGTGGAGAGATGGCTCAGTGGTTAAGAGCATCAGCTGCTCTTACAGAGGACCCAGGTTCAATTCCCAGCACCCACATGGCAGCTAACAACCGTCCATAACTCCAGTCCCAGGGGAATCTGACACCCTCTTCTGACCTCTGTGAGCATTACATGACATGGGTGCACTGGTGCACATGTAGACAATATGTTCATACACATAAATTAAAAATATAAATAAAATATTAAAAAATAAATGCTAACACACAAATTCTTAGCATGAATGGCATTATAAACACAAATTTTATTCCGTATTGAAACTTGTGAGCCATGGTTTATCAACTCCTGGTCTAAACTATACTTCGACTTTTTTTCCTTGGTTTGGGGGAGAGGGTGAGGGTGAGGATGAATAGAAGTCATATCAGGGTTGATGGCTCCTGCTTTGAAGATCACCAATATCTGACCATTTGTTGCAGTATAATAAAGTTTCTGTTTCCCCGGGAGTGAAACACCCAGTGAATCTCCAGTAGCCGCATCATCCTCTTAGAGACTGAAGCATTTTAGGAAGTCCCTGGAGATTTCCTTGAAGGCTGCCTGACCAACTTTGTGCCACATGCACAGTTCTAAGAGCAAAGGAAGCTGGGAAAGATGGTGCCTGGCATCTTTAGCTTTCTGGCACGTTGGGAGAGGGGTTGAGAAAACATTGGGGGTGGAGGCAGTTCATAGTGTCCGTAAAGTGGTTTAAATGGCTAGTTGATCAGACTCATAGTCCTTGCAGAAAATGCTAGCCAAAACAGATAATTCAAATTATGTGTGAGTGTGTGTGCATGTGTGTGTGTCCTCATGAAATGAAACAGAAATTGCTAAGGTAGAAGGATTAGTTGGCACAGAAAGGATTGGTGACCGGAGGGCAAGAACTCCAAGCCTTGCTCCACTAAATGGATGGAGATTGTATGTTTATCAAAGAAACCAACGCTCAGTTGTTGAGTAACCAGGGAAGCATTTTGTTGCAAGAAAAAAAGAGCTTGGAAAAAATAAACCCTCCAATGCGCTGCAGATACCACTGCACCATGTGTAAACTAGGGATGCCTGTCCTCACACATAGCTGTCCAGTTTTGAGAAAGCCCATGTTGTGGAACAGGGTTAATTCAACCGCACCAAATCAGGAGCTGTCACCGCCTATGGCTGTCCTGAGCAGGGCTCACTCTTGTTTATCAAAGCTGCTTTCACAGGAAGTGCAAAGTGACCGCCTCAGCGTGGTGGGGGAGGGGTCTGACCCTTAGAAAAGGGGCTCTGTACTGCAGCAGCACAGATGCACTTGGGACATACTGCAGACCACAGGCACTTACCATCCAAGAGGGCATATTAACCTACTTGGTGATAATAGCCACATCTAAAAATAAAAACAGCAGCAACCATAATAACCCCAGACGTGCTGAATGTTTTCCGTGCTCTGGAGGTGGGCTACGTAGTTTACAGGCAATCTGCTCTTTAATTCCTACGATGGCTCTCCTATCATTATCCAAATCTCTTTTCCAAATTATGAAGCTTAGACCCAACACAGTGGCTTACCCAAAGCCATTATCAAGTAAACGATTAAAGCAGAGTTCTAATTGGCTCTGCTATAAATACACTGCTCAGATCAGAGTCCACCTTCCCTTCACTAGAGTCGTGAAAGTATAATTCTATATTTACCTGCTTACTAGATGAAATAAGTCAATCCTGGGCGCTATGATCCTCTCCCGAGGCTCTTGTTCATCATTGGCCTGGAACACAAGTTGCCCAGCTGAGATGAGTTGTCATCACTCAACTTACAACTGAATGAGCAATTGTGTTTCCGTGTGATCTGTGTCCGCTCAGACTGTGAGAGGCACTACAGCAGCTAACTCTGTTAATTTTCTTTACAAAGACAACTTGCCACTGAGAAAAAGACCGTGACGTTTTTCAAACAAGTCCTCTAGAGGGCGTCACATAGGTGACTCTTGATGACTCTGGGTTCTAAACAACTCAGAGGAGTCACTTTAGCCAGAGCAGTCTACACTGCTTTGAAACTCGCTGGGCTATCAGACCCTGTTCTCAGCTCCGGTTTTAAGAAGCCATCGGCAGATGGATATAGGCTGGATGGAGCTGCAGATCCATCCCTTCGCCTGCAGCCTAATTAGGGGTGGGAGGGAGTGCCTTCCTGGCTGTAGCCTTTACAGTAATCTCTTTCCACAGGTGCCTGTCCTTGACAAAAGAAAAGAGTCACTCACTTTCCTTTGGTTGTAGATCTTACTGTTGGCAAACTCTCATGTCCCCTAGCAAGTCAGTTAGTCCCCCGCCCCGCCCATCAGTTATAGTTTCTAGTCTTGGATTATTTTTTCTTTTAATTAATGTTTGCTTTACAATGAGTGTGATATCATAGCAAGTCAATGTTAATCTTTCACAATGTATATAAGAGGTGTGGGTGTGGTTTTATTTGGGGGGGCGGGGTTCGGGATTCTAGGAAGTCCTAAAGTAGCACAATCTGTGAAAAACAAAAAAAGGTGGTTAAGGAAGTCTAGGGTAAAATGTTGAATTGGCTACTGTGGTGACATGACATAGTCAGCTGTTCAGTTTAAAGATTTTTGTCTTTTTGAGACAGGATCTCCCTGTAACCTCAGCTGGCCTGGATTTGCTATGGAGACCAAGGCTGGCCTCGAACTCACAGAGATCAGCCTGCCTCTGCCTCTCGAGTGCTGGGATTAAAGGCGTGTACCACCACGCCCAGCATTTGAGTGATCTTTTTTTTTTATTTTATTTATTATTTTTATTTTATGTGTATGAGTATATTGCTTGCATGTGTAGTACACCCATGTTGTGCCATGCCCACAGAGGTCAGAAGAGGGCGTCAGATCCCCTGGAACTGGAATTACAAACAGTTGTTAGCCACCATATGGGTGCTGGGAGCCAAACCCAGGTCCTCTGCAAGAGCAGCCAGTGCTCATAACTGCTGAGCCATCTGCCACAGAGGTCAGAAGAGGGCTTCGGATTCCCCTGGAACTGGAGTTAAGGATGGTTGTTAGCTGCCATGTGGGTGCTGGGAATCGAACCCTGGTCCTCTGCAAGAGCAGTCAGTCCTCTTATCCGCTGAGCCATCTCTCCAGCCCTTAACTGATCTTTTAAAACAATAATCTGTGCTTCTGACTGGTTTGAAGGTGAATTTAAAAATAGAATTGAAAGTGGTTCTGAATGAAATTAGGTTATGCTGTTTGGACAATAAACTCACCTTGACAAAACAAAAGAAAACAAAAAAGAATTGGGAATGGGCTGGGAGATGGCTCCGTGCATAAGAGAGCTTGCTTTTCAAGCACACAGACCTGCGTTTGGATCCCCAGTACCCATATAAAAGCCGGTCATAGCTACACGTGCTTGTAAGGCAGTGCTGTAGGAGAGGGAGACAGGAGGGTCCTTGGGACTGGTCGGCTGCCCAATCTGGTCAAAAATTGGTGAGCTCCAGTTTCAATGAGAGACCCTTACTCAAGGGGATAGAGCAAAGCGAAAAAAAAGGATACAACAGGACACCTGGTGTCTTCCTCTGACCTCCGCAAAAACAGGCACACGCACCCCCAACCCACTCCCATGAAACATTTAAAAACACAGAAGTGCTGAGGCAGCTTCCACATGAAGAACGATAAACAGATGCGATGGCAGCACAGGGATGCTGTCCTGCCCCATTCTGCACCATCAGGAAACGGAGCTCTATTCAGGCCAGCATTACAGGGTGGGGCGGGGGGGCTCCTGTCTCCATCAACGTTTCTGTGCATCGCACAACCAATAGGGTCTTCTGTGTGGTAGCTCTGCTGTGGTTTTCCGCTGCCGTGTCACCAACAGGGTTAATATTTTGTTCTGACTTTACATCTAAGCACTTAGCATATCGCACTGTATTGTTGAATAATCAGAGTGTAGGTGTATCGCTGTGTTTTAGATTAGCAACAGATGTTCCGAGGCTAGAGAGTGATGGAGGAAGCATCTGAAATGACTTTTTCCTTGATGCCCACCCTCAGACCTGCTTCCAGGACATCACTTGGCCTTACCAAACAGTTCCATCTGAAGCTAAAAATGCATTTATTTTTTTTCCCAAAATGACACTGGGACTTCACAAAGCGAAACAGCATGGTGTGGTTCTAAATTACCTTCAGGTTTCAAAGGACTAGGAGCTGCTTGCTAAAGCAGTTTCATTTGACCTACTAGGAAGAACAGCAAATTTCCTGAGACCAAGGTACCTAACCCTATTCACAGACTTGGCTCTGGATTTCATGAACCTTACCTGGGTTGTTCTGTATCTCACTGGCAAATTTCAGGTAAATGGTAAGATCTCTGTGCTCCTTAGGGTCAAGGAATGGCCCTGGCAGCCACATAAATGCAGCATTCACCTGAAACAAAATATCTGATGCAGCCTAATTTATAAAGAAAGAAGGCTTCTCTAGCTCATAGTTCTAGAGGTTTACTATTCAAGATCTGGTAGCCTTCGGTGAGTGAATCAGGGTGGGTGTGTCACAATGGCAGACACGAAGGTGAGAGGATGAGATCACAGTACCACAAAGTCAGAGATTCACGCTGAGTTGAGCTCGCTTGAAAACCAATTTTGTACTGTGCAAAGGCAGCTCCCCAATGTCCTAAGGATCTCTCTCTAGGCCCTGCACCTTAAAGGTCCCACATTGCAACCTAGGGACCAAGACTTTGATCCATAAACCTCCAAGAGATACAGACAAGGACACAGGAAAACCATATCCAACTCATAGCACATGTGTTCCTGAGACTTTAAAAAATATCACAGAGGGCTTATTTGATAACTCTGAAACCTTTTATGATTTTAAAAGATCCTAGTTCCAGCCTGGCTCTGCCACTCACTAGCTGTGTAACCTTAGACAAGTCATGTAACCTTCTGAAATCTGGTTCTTCATCTGTAAAATAAAGTAATAATGGCTATTTGAATAAATTATGGTGTGGTCATATATAGAAAGAGAAAAAAAAAGAACGAGACAAGAACATCCTTGACCTGCTAACATTTATTCAATATTCTTTGAAATTAGCAAGAATCTAAGCAGCACATATCAATCAAATACAGCCACGAAAATGTCTTGGATATAAATAAAGGTGCACTATGAGAAGTACTACAAAAGGACCCGGAACACCCTTACATTTTACTACCTCAGAGACAAACAACTTGAACGCAATTTAATTCACTTACAATTAAAAAATTTTTTTTGACTTTTAACAAAAAAAAATATATAGATTGAAATCGATCATCATTTGCCCACTAGGGCCTTTCCTTGTTTCTGTTTGCAAGGCCAGGTTCAACAACTGCTACGAAAACGACTAAAAGAAACTCGAAAGAATCTTTCTGCAGAGTTCAGGGGAACAGTGCAGAAAATAAGTTACTTTAACCATGCACCGAATAAGGCAGAGGCTAATTTCACTCAGGTTAGGAATAATAAAGGTAACTATTCTTCTTTTTCACAAAACAAACATCTCAGACTTCATTTTAAGGAACAGGAATGCTGTATTATGTATCAGACTCTACAGGTTTTCCTAACTCTACTCAGAAAGCTGGCACTCACATGTCGAAAAGAAACTTCTCCTTGATTAGACTTATTCTGTAACAACCACAGCTCAGGTGGGTTTCGTGGCAGGGTCTACAGTGGAAGAAGCACATACTTGTCAAAGCGTACAGTGTCAGGAGCTGAAGTACGTTAAAACGTGGTTTATGGATTTCACAAATTCTGTTCTTTTAAAATATTTTTTCAAACTAAAAGCTGCAGAAAATTAGTTCTTTGATAGTCTACTGAAAACTCTTGAGCAGCCAATGTTTCAAATTTCTTAAGCTTTTAAATTTTCTTAAAAATATTTAAATGATCTTAGTATCTCGTCTTTTTTGAAAAATAATCCCCCAAAAAAAGATTACAAATCTTTTGTTTTAATCAGTGTAACCAAGGGCTTGTCGTCAGGGCTGTAGTCCTCGTAAGCTATGGGAGTCACGTCATACATCGCAGGCCGGGACTTCTTTCCAAACCTGAAATCAATGACAGAGAGGATTCTGGTTATGTAAGTATTGGATTCCAAGTCCTATTAAAGGCAACGGATAAGAATGAATTAAATTTTGGCTGGGAGGATAGTTCAGTACCAAGGCTACACAAGCATGTGGACTGAGTTCAGATCTCCAGCACTCATATAAAAGTCAGCCAGGTGTACGTGCCCATGTGCTGCAGGAAGGGAGAAGGAATAGATCCCTGGATCTTATTGGCTACCTAGCCTAGTCGGTCCATGAGTTCCAAGTGAACTCTATGTTCAATGAAAGATCCAGTCTCAAAAACTAATGTGCAGAGCAATCAAGAAAGTAGCCAGATATTGACCTCTGGCCTACATACACACACACACACACACACACACACACACGCACACATGCACACACATGCATGCACGCACACAGGCACGCTCTCACACATACATGCATATACTCGGACACCTAAATACATCACATACACACACACAAAGAAATATTTCTATTCAAGAATTAAATAGAACTATAAAAATATTCTAAAAACATTTTCTTCAGCAAATATGGAAATTTGAGGCATTCTGATAGTAACTGATAAGCATTAGTCTTTGGTCCAGGAGGCAAAAAATGAATTTCACAAAACGTAGAGCTCAAATTTATGTTGAATCTTGCAGATTAAATCTTGGCAAGGGAGTCAGACAGGACAGCTCCACAACAGATTTAAGAAAACATGTATGGATTTGTCTTTTTCTTCCAAGACCCATAAATATCTGGAAAGACAGCTTTATTTGACATCTTCTCTGGCACTACAATACAGAATGGAGGGTAGTGCCCCCCCCCAACTAGTACACAGATAGCATCTCCCGCCTGAGATTTGCTCTGAGGATATCAGGAAGGACAGCAGAAGAAAGCACTTAAAACACTGAGGTATTTGTCCACAAATGCTGCCAGGGTTCACCATCAAGTCCTACCCTTCTGTTCTCTGGCAGTCCCTACAAGCACTGTTCTTCCCTGAGCACCAAGCTACTGTCCCAACAGATCTGTATATATCAAAGTCTCCTCCACAGCACAACTGCTGCCCAGAAGCCAGAAGACTCCAAGTTCAAGACTTTTTGCCAAACTAGTCTTAAGAGAACAATTATTTAAAATATAGCTAGTTCAACTTGTGGGTGGTCTCTTCCCATTCAAGACCTCACTTTTCCCAAAGCTATAGAGTGAAATATTATTTAAACAGTCTGCCATGTGAATCCACAATCATTTCTCCTCATATACAGCATTTTAATTAAAAGCTATTTTACTTCCAACAGGGCTCATTAAAAAGACATCAGAGCACAAGAACCTTAAATTTTGTAAAGGCTGTTAGAATGGACCCTGAGGAATTAAAGGGGCTTATTGACCATGGCTCCTGTCCCTTCTCTCCTCTTCCGACTTTCTTTGATCCCTTTGGAAAGTCTGATTTCTCATATACAAAGACAAGACATACGATCAAGGGGAAAATGAGAAAAGACAGCATCTTCAGATGATCTTTGATCTTGGAGGCAGGAAGATAACTTGAGACGGGTCTTACTCTGCGGTCCATGCTGGCTTCAAACTCATGGTAATCCTCCTGCCTCAGCCTCTCAAGTGCTGGTATTCCAGGAAAGAGCCACCACCAAGCCTGGCATGATCTTTGATTTTCAAGCCTTCATCAATCTTACCTTCCAATTCAGTCAAGACTAACTGGCTTCTAAGAGCACAGAGGACTCATACCCAATGAGCACCAGGCAAAGCTCAGGCCAAGGTTAAGCACTCTGCTACTATCGACCCACAGTAACCACTGCAATGTCAAAAAGGCCTTCAATAAAATCATTTCTGAACTATGAAGCTTCATGGAAGACCCATAAACTGTGCTGGCACCAGTGTGGATTTGGACTTGAGCCTGCGGCCTGTCAATCTGTCTGAATGAGGCCTGGCAATCTGAGAATAAGAAAAGTGGCCATACTATAAAATTTTATTGTATTCTCTGTCCCAAGTCTGAAAACCCAAGAAGCTACTCTAAGGTAAAAAAGAAAATTTGAATATCTTAAAATAACTAGATATTGGGGCTAGAGAGATGGTTCAGTGGTTAAGAGTACTTGCTACTCTTGTGGAGGACCCAGGTTCAGTTCCTAGCACCCACATGGCAGCTCATAACTATCTGTAATTCTAATTCCAGAAGATCTGACACCCTCTTCTGCCCTCCATGGGTATCAAGTATACACATGGTGCACATCCACACATGCAGGCAAAACACTCATACACATAAAGTCTATATTTTTAAAAAAAGCCAGATGTGTTGTTCATAAAAGTGATGATTTTAAAGAAAACCTAGAAACACAGTGAAAAGATCCCCACACTCCAACCTGGTGGCCCTGGAGTGGTTTCCTCTGGGAACTTTGATACATGAATCATACTCATGAGCTAAGTAATTAATTCAGTTATTTGGCCAAAAGGAAAAATACAGGCAGCTGAAACAGAAGCAATATATTGTTAAAGACTCACTTTTATATGGATTCATAGTTTGAAGAATCTGCTTTCTTAAAATCTGGAAGATTAGATGCCTTAATCTTATGCCATGTATTTGTAAGCAGTAGTTTGAAGGACACTGAACATGAATGTCACCATGGAACTGAAAATTGACAAGGAAATTTGAGGATAGGTATGGAAGATCCACTGAGGGTGACTTCCCAAGGCTAGACCCCCTTCCTTGTACTTGTGCAAAGAGGAAGGGTGTGGAGAGCCATGGGTTTGCTCCTGCTGACCATGACAGCTTTTCTCCTGCCCATGTATAAGCAAATCACCTGTGCGGTAGATGTTTTGGGGGAAAAAGGAAGGGGCACCTTCTCAGTTCAGCTTATTTTGTCTATCAGGGCCACCATATGCTTCCTTGGTCCCTCATGAATGTGTGGGGAGATCCATTAGAATGCCTCTCCTGTGGTCACTGGCATGTAGTCATTCCAACCCAGTATCGCCTCCAGGCTAGCAGCCAGGAGACAGCCTGTGAAATGGGCATTAGAAACTAGAAAGAAGGAATCACCAAAAGGATTGGGTTTTGCCAAGATCTTCCTAGAGTTTCCAGGAATAGGGGGCAAAGCATGCCAGGGTGAGAGGTCTGGCTATGGCCACTAACAGCCAGGCTAGGGGTCAGGTTGCAGCTGCGGAAACCTTCAGGTGAAGAGCTACCCTGAGCTCTAGATTCTTGGGAAGACATGGCTTTCTTGCAGACTGTTTCCTCCGTACTCACTGGAATATGCCAGAGCTTGTGGGTTAAGAATTATGCAGTACGTATTTTGATAAGGATGGGTAACAAGTAAGAATCAGGTTGGTGACATCTCTTCTCTCCTTCATGAGTATTCAGTTAAGTACCTTCTCAGTAGCCTGTATGGGCAACAGGCTTCAAGGTATCCCTCTCAACTATACTGGACCTGAAATACCATACTTTTCTACTTGGAACCCAAATGATTTTAGCCACAGATGTCTCTGGAGTAGAGAGAATTTTATTTCTGTGTCTCCTAATACATCAAAGTATAAATGTACAGATCTTGTTCCTTCCTGTGAGCTAAGCTCTTCTGGGAACAGACAGGAGACAGGAGTCATAAGCACCAAGAGAGTCTGTCAGTCCTCTACTCCTTCTGCTTTCTCCAGTCTAGTGATTTGGTAGACTGGAAATAGCCCCCTAAGCTGGTCCACGTACTGAGCCCTGGTTTGGAATCTCAGGCAAGGGAAGACATCGTATGAAACACAAGCTGAGATCATCTATTCATGTCAGACTTCCTTTTATTTTAAGTGAAGTTTATTATATGTCAGGATGGGTTGGACACACAGAAACAAAAAGAAAAACTCAAATAAATAATCAAACTGGGGCTTGCAAGAGCTGTCCAGGAAGCTGGGTTGCCTGGGCTGACCCAGAAAGAAAACAGCCAGGGAAGCAGCCCTGTGGGGCAGGGCCTGAGTTGGTTACCACCGAGCTGTTCGGCCTCAGAGTCACCAAGTTCCCCAGGGCACAGCTCCCAGAGAAGCACCGGGGCAGATCCTCCAAGTGCCCCTAGGGTACTTCACTGACCCTTCTCCCTGAAACCAGACCCTGCTTCCGGTTTCTAGTCCACAAGGTCAACCATAAGTTCTGAAACCGGAATTTGGGGATTTTCCTTTGAAGAAGGAAGCCTCTGAACCTCTTCGCTTGGGGTCTGCTTGTGTCTTAATTGATACCACTATATAACATCCCAAGAAGATCCATTTCCCTGGGCCCCACTCTTAAATCACCAAGCTTAGGAGGCTGGAGAGATGACTCAGCAGTTAAGAGCATTGGCTGCTCTTGCAAAGGACCAGAGTTTGATTCCTGTGACTCACATCAGGCAGCCCACAACCACCTATAACTTCAGCTCCAGGGGATCCAATGCCGCCTTCTGGCCTCCAAAGGCACCCACAGCAGGAACACAATTGCATACATAGACACACACACAGACATAATAAAAAACGTAAACGAATCTTTATAATAACACCAAATTCAGCACACTGAGTTTTTGAATTGTGTGTTTCAAATTATTCTGACTCAGGTTGTCTAAGGAAGTAGAGCCCACAGAACTGTATTTGCAGAAGGTTAAGTGATCTGTCTGGAATAGAGTCAGGGAGTGGGGTATTCAGACATCCTATCATACTTCTGTATTTGAACTTACACGCCTCCTATAATACCTCCTCTAATGCCTTTCTTCCAGAAAGGACACTGCATTATAAAAACACAAACTGTAAGCATTAAAAGAAAGCTATTTGTCATGACTTTTGCAGGTCCTTATGTTGAAAAGAATCATTTATAATCGAATGACTGTTTTAAAATCAACACGGTTAAAGACATTCTAAAAATAAATTATCAGGTTGAGCTGATGGCTCAGTCAGTAAAGCACTTGCCTTACAATTACAGGACCTGAGTTCAAGACCCATAACCCACCAACAAATCCTGAGCATGGTGGTGTGGGTCTGTAATTTCAGCACTGGGGAGGCAGAGACGGGAGGCTCTGGGGCATCCCTCGGGCATGCAGGCCAGCTAATCTAGCCTAATTGGTGAACTCAAGGCCTCTCATTTGAGAGATCTTGTCTCACAGGAGGTAAACAGCACCTGAGGGTAACATCAGGTCATTTGGCCTACACACACACACACACACACACACACACACACGCACGCACGCACGCACGCACGCACTCTTGCACACACACATTTTCTAAATATAATTTAAAATGTCTTCTAATGCACAATGATGAAGAATAATATGTGAGCAGATCAATAGAAATAAATGAATAATTATTCAATGCAAACAAAACTAGCCACCAATTACAAGGGGGCTGCTCACAAAGGGCATCATGCCCTGTCTTCAGTTCTGTGGTCAGCCTGTGTTTTATTCTTTAAGAGCCTCCCTTTGCAGCTCTAAAGTCCCACTGAGAACACAACCCAGGTGCCCAGGTGTGAACGGGCACTGCACCCTCACTGCACCCCAGGGCTTACCTGGCATGCCGGATAGACGCGATGGCATTGCTGAATTCACTGTCGATGCTGCGGCAGTTGTAGAACTCTTCGTAGGCTGGCCGAGAGGAGCCCTGGTACTCGATGCGGCTGATGCGGCAGATGCCCACGATAAGGATGATCAGCATGAGCACAAAGGCCACGCAGAGGGCTCCGATGATGATGTAGAGAGAGTGTCGCGGCATGTTGGTGAGGCTCTCGGCCATGTGCCCAGACTTCCACTGCAGGTCTGCAGACAGAGACAGGCCGATGGCAGAGACTGAACTGTGGCACTCAGTGTGGCAATTTCCCACCCTCGCACCACTACCTTTGCCTTCAAGGGTCACCTAAACTGGGAAGGATTGTTTTCTGTGAATAATTTAGACTAAAGGTTCACATCTTTCATAATAAGGCCTGCTTACAAATCATGAAGAAAAAACCAAGAGCACACCTGTTGTGTTTGGATATGAAGTATCTTTCAGACCCATGTGTTTTAATACTTGGTTTCCCAGTTGGCAGTTGTGTTTGGGAAGGTTGTGAAACCCTTAAGAGGTGGACCCTTAGGAGAGGAAGTGGGAAACGGGGGGGAGGGCCTTCAGGTTTCATATCCAGCTGCACTTCCTGTTTGCTTTCTGCTTCCTGACTGCAGATAGAGTGCTCCCCACTCCCCACCATGATGGACTGTAACCCCTCAAACTGTCACCCAAATAAACCTTCCTTCCTTAAGTTGCTGCTTCTCAGGTGTTTTTCTCACAGCAATAAGAAAAGTGATTAATGCAACTTCATAGTCATTTTTTTTTTGGTCTTTTTGAGACAGGGTCTCCCTGTAGCCCCAGCTGTCCTGGAACTCACTATGTAGACCAGGCTGGCCTTGAACTCACAGAGATCCACCTGCCTCTGCCTCCCGAGTGCTGGGATTAAAGATGTGCACCACCATGCCTGGCCTTTCATAATCATTTTTAAAAATAAAATTCTTCTACCTGTTCCAAAATAATGATTGACAAGAACATAGAAACAGAGGCTGCAAACTGACGGACCTATTGGCAGAATGTAAACCCAGTTATATCCATTTTAGAATTCATGCTGGGAAAATAGGCCTGTGAATGCAAAAAGCACTATATTCAAGAATATTCACCTTAGTATCACAATATTTAAGTGTTAAATAATCAACTATCACACATTTACAAAAGACTCGGAAAATACGTACAAGCCCCAGTCAGAGTCAATATTAATGTTTTATCATTTTGTTTTAGATTTCTTTCATAAATTTTTTAAATATTTTATTTATTACTTTTACGTGCACGAGTGTATTGCCTACATTAAGTGCACCCATGTCATGTAATACCCAAGGAGGTCATAAGAGGGTGTTGGATTCCCTGGAAGTGTAGTTACTGATGGTTGTTAGCCACCATGTAGGTGCTTGGAATCAAACCCAGGTCCTCTGCAAGTGCTCTTAACCACTGAGCCCTCTCTCCAGCCCCCATATATTTTTAAAAGAAATAATATGTTGCAGATACAAAGTTTCCCTCACTCTCACATTCTCCCCTTACCCCACCAACATCAAAACAGTTCATAAAAGTCAAGAGGGAGTCTAAATACTCAACTCTTAGTGAGATAGAAAGTTTTATACAGTATAAATAAACAAAAGAATGCTATCAAACAGGATCTACTCAGATGGCACAATAATTCAGCAGTCACAGTGAGTTTAAAATATTTACTCATGGGCTGGAGAGATGGCTCAGCAGTTAAGAGCACCGACTGCTCTTACAGAGGACCTGGGTTCGACTCCCAGCACCCACATGGTGGCTACAAACCGCCCTTAACTCCAGTTCCAGGGGAATCCGAAGCCCTCTTCTGACCTCCGTGGCATTGTATGACATGGGTGTACTCATTTACAAGCAGACAATACACTCATACACACCAAATAAAAATAATAAATAAAATATTTTTTAAAATATTCACTCAGACATTGAAAAGCAGAAGGTAGGGTCATAACACTAGAAAGCTTACACCGCTTCCTTACAGTGGGCCAAGATCTTTAGAAATGTCTTATTTAATCACAACAACCAGAAGATGCGTGGTCTCCCCCACGGCAGCCCTGGAAGGGAGGCAGTCTAGGAACATGGTGTCCCCTTCAGTGGAGGCAAATCTGGAGCTAAGGTCTGCGGCGGCACACACCAACTGTCTCTAGAAGGCAGGGTTACAAGGTATTTTAGCTTCTTCTTTCAATCTTTTCCAACTTAAAATAAGATCTAGTCCTTCTGCAATAAAGAGATGAATAATAAGTTGTTGGCATAAACACTCAACGGCACCTCCACCACAGCCGAGAGCGTGGGCCTTAGGAACACACCAGCCAAATCCAGCGTTTGATTCACCTCCTTGAGCCTCAGTTCCTTCATCTGTAACATGAAATAGCAATGTATACCTCGATGGCTTATGATGAGCATAGGCTAGGACTGTTTTAAAAGTGAAATGTGTAAACACCCTCGGTGGATGGTCCTTAAGGAGGAACAGTCCGGATGGTGGGGGAGGACAAAGATAACACTGTCCTGGAAGACAGCTGCTCTGTGCTGAGGATTAGAGCACCACTCCATGTCCTTCCATCAGCCTGTGGTAGCAGAAGGTAGACTAGAAGGACTGACTGCCATCTCCGTGGTTGACATGGGTCTAACGTCAAATTGTGTTGTAGTTGTAGACTCGTACACAGATGGAAATTTCTAGCTAATATGAACAGGATGTGAAAAGAAACTTCACATTAGAAGAGCTAGACAAGACCAGAGAGAAGCTGGACTGGACTGGCGTGGGGAAGAGGCCCCTTCGCTGCTGTATCCCCACCGCTGCCACCGCCGATACCCCACCAGGGCCGTTACCCCACCAGGGCCGTCACCCCACCAGGGCCGTTACCCCACCAGGGCCTTGTTACTTTCATGGCTGTGCTTTCCTGGTGTCCAGACACGGGATTCAGAGATCAGTGAGAGCAGAAATGAGCCCCAGGACACTGCTCACTCCCCCATTTATGTGAGGGTGCTGTGATCTCGGGATACCCACACACTAAGCAGCATCCTCAGTGATCACGGAACCCAAAAATCAGATATTCTGGACCTTGAAAAGTCACAGCCTGTTGGGGCTGGAGAGGTGGCTCAGCAATTAAGAGCATGGGCTGCTCTTGCAGAGGACCCAGGTTCAGTTCCCAGCACCCTCATGACAACTATCAACTATCTGTAACTCCAGGGGCTCTAACACCCTCTTCTGATCTACGTGGGCATTACATGACATGGGTGCGCCTACTTACATTCCAACAATACTTACTCATACACATGAAAGAAAAAGAAAAAGTGTTTTAAAAAGAAAAGTTTTAGCCTGGAAAGGAATACAGGTAGACACCCAAACAAGGAGGCAGGCCTGCAGACCCATTGTACAGAAGTCTAACAATAAAGTGGCCCCTATTCCTGGTCTGGATATGTCTAGCTAGCCTGCATGAATGAAGTGGATTCTGACTTTGTAGCCAGATAATCCGATCCCTGAATATTTTACAGAGACCTGTGGGGACTGATTTGGCCATTCATCTACCTGACCACTAGTGCATTCCCTTTTCCCACTCAGCAAACACACAGGAGGCAGACATAGCAACATAAATCACTGCAAAGAAAGAATCTCTCCATGGACTAGAACCAAGACTCAGTCATACCCCCCAACCCCCAGCATGGCCTCCTGCGTGCTGAGAGAGACAACTTTGTTCTCTGGCTGAAAAAGTAAGTGTGATTCACTTGATTTCCAAGTATTTTAACATTCCCTAAAAAACTCAGCTGCGGGCTGGAGTCCAAAGCTCAGCAGAGTGTGTTTTTTAACATCCATTTAGCATCAACACAAGAGTGGGCAGTGCCTTCTCTATTCCAACTTGGTAGAGTTCACAGATCCAATCCCTGGGGAGGATCACATGTGTTCTTTTATTTAGTATTTTTATTGAATTGTTGAGATTTTCATACAATATACTTTGATGGTATTTAGATCCCCTCCCACCCCCACCTCCCCTTATTGTCCCTGCCCAATTTAATGTTCTCTCTCTCTCTCTCTCTCTCTCTCTCTCTCTCGTGTGAGAAAAAAATATAGCCTATAGAGTGTAATTTGTGTCTCCAAATGCCCTTCGGTGTGGGTCTATCCATTGGAGACGAGTCAAACTACCAAAAGTCTCATTCTTGAAAGAGACAGTCTCTGCCCTTCCCAGCAGCCATCTCTTGCCAGATTTTCCTTAGGTAGAGCTGTGATTTCTTATCCACTTCTTCATGTCTATGCTGGGATTTTTTCTGGCTTCAGCTTGCATGGGACTTGTACACGCTGTCACCATTGCTGTGAGTTCATATGAGTAACTGACCAGCTGTCTGGAAACTCTGTTTCCTTGTGGTCATCTACCACCTCTGGGTCTCACAATCTTTCTGCCCCATCTTCCTCAATGATCCCTGAGCCTTGGGAGGCAGAAGTTTGATATTCAGGGATAAGTACTCTGCGGTCTCTTGTTCTTTGCATGTTGGCCAGCAGGGGTTTTATTTTTTTAAATTACAGTTGTGTGTGTGTGTGTGTGTGTGTGTGTGTGTGTGTGTGTGTGTGTATGCGCACGCACATGCATCACAGAGGACAACTAGTAGGAGTCAGTCCTCTCTGTGATGTGGACCCTGGGGATGAAATTCAGGTTGTCGGCCTGGGCAGCAGACACCTTTATCTGTTGAGTCCTATCAAGGCCCTCACACAAGTTCTTGATAGGCTCTTGTGTTCTATGCATGCAGTTTGTAAAGAATATTTACATCACATTGACTATGCACATGCAGCAAGTGTGCCCTCACACAGCAGCTGCTGTGGAAATAGCAACCATGCTTCATTGTGTCCCACCCAGCACTGTGTCCCAGGTTGGATGAACTGCTCCCTTCTCTTTATCTGTTCCACTTCTCAAATATCTGTACTCTAAGCTGTTTGGATGTTAGAGGGGGAAATCTATCACAATTTGTCTAAAATGCCTGCTTTCCCGCCTCCTGTTACCCTCTTCTTTAAAACTCGAGTCCTTTACTGCCATCTGAAATGTCTGGCAGAAGGGAAGGTGGCAGCTTTGCAAGCTGATTGGTTTAGCTGCCAGCCTGGATCACGCAATCCGACACTCAGTCTGAGAGGCAGCAAATGTCTTCACACCAGGTGGCTGCAAATGCCATCTCCTGTCCATCGTCATAAGCCATTGCTTTTCCACATCCTGGGAGTCCCATG